GCTGCCTGCAGGGTTAAACCACAACAGGCATGAAAAATTATCATGGATGTACAGACTACAGGACACGTTCAAACACCTTGTGTGAACCTTGTGTGAGCCAGTGTTATCCAAAGGGACCAAGGGCTGAACCACCATGGACCATAGATGTCAGAGATATTTATAGTTGGACAGATCATGTGTTTGCACCTGTCACAGAGCATATGGGTAGTGTTTTATGGTATGTGGATCATCACATTGCTAATGCCTGTAAGACAATATAATTCCACCAGCAGGAACACATGTCATTTCTCGTTAGTCATTGCTGAGGTCAGAGGCACTCTTAGAACAGGGTGTTGGTTATCTGATAAAGTTATTTCGGGGGTTTGCATGGGCTTTTGCACAAGATAGGGTGTTTTAATAGTGTGTAGACTGCCAAATGAAGTGTCCTTTAAAATTATGTGGCATCTTTAAATTGCATCAACAAATTATATTAATCCAGCCTTGTACTACCATCATGATCACCATACACTTCTACTATCTGGCAAACTAAGGTTTTCTACCCTCTTCAGTGGCCACATGAACCTAGATTATGTGCTTTTAACCCACCTGCCAGAACTCTGGAATTAAATAAACTCAAGGGCACAGAAGGTAGAAATAGAGCTTAGCAAGAGTAAGGCTTAGCACTAGGTCAATGAAGAACTAGTATATGCCTTGCCTTTTGCACCTTGACTCCTCACTCTCTCTGATTGTCGTCCAAACAAGATTACTCTCCCTGCACACATATGAAGTTCCCTTATTAGCACAGTATGTATTTTTATGTATATACTTTTAGTGCTATTTCCCCCCAGTTTTGATGATTCTAACACACGTGAGAATTAGACACCAGTCTCATTGGCAGGATGATTGGCTATTGCCTGGGAAGCCTTGTAACTTTATGCAGTATGTTTGTGGATATCTGACACCACCTCACAGTGCTGATCAGTACCGTATGATGCGGATATATATTCACATTTTAGCACTGATCTTTACCCATTCAGAGCAGATTATGATCTACGAAAAGTGTTATCGTTTGTCTTAGCATAATGTTACCAAAAATAATAATAAAAAATGACCAATCTCGCAAGAATGAATCAAAACCTTACCACTAATATGAGCCTCAAAGGTTGCGGCACTACCCTCCAGTGCCACAACGCTTTGTAATGGCTGCGTAAATGTTGGTGCTTTTGTCGTCATCTTTACAGGCACTCTGGAAGAAACAAAAACATAATTAGATATCAATGGTGAAATTGTTATTATACGCACATTCTTCTTGCTAGATTTTGGGAATACTTGTAATTATTTTCATAACTATTTACTCTTCTCAATTTTAAATCACATTGATCTGGTGAATTGTGAAGACTGTCGATTTTGACAAAGTTGTATAGCAAATTACTCTTAGGACACGCTTGGCTGAGTTGGATGTGAAACTTATATTTAGTGAAGAGGTAATTTGGCATTACAAGTATGCAGCAGGAGACAAAGTTCTGCCTGACTCATTGCATGACCTTGTGCAGGTCATCTAGCCTCTATTTGTCCATTAATCTCCTTTACTTAAAGAGAAAATAATCTCCATGTAAAAATTTGTTTGAATCATTTGAAAATGTTTTGTTAGTGCAAAGCATTTGCATTCTCCAATGGGAAGACAACTAGGTCACTAAGTAGCAACTGAAAAAAAGTGAAGGTTTACAATCTATTTGGCTTTTAATAATTAAAAAAATGCCAGGAGGCTTTCTTTTAAAAGCAGTCTTTAAGTAGTGAATAATTCCATTTTACACAGAAGCATACTGGCATTAAAGATGCAGATAAAATTCTACTCTTTCTTAGAGAGTATCTCAGCGGAATTTTGAGTATGGGAAGAGAGCCACCTTCGAAATGTGAGCTAGGATATAAGGTAACCACTGACACTGATGGTTTGAACAACTGCAGATCCGTGTGAAATCTGAAAGAAAAATAGTTTGCTTTTTCTTCCTATGCCACAAGATCCTACTTTGAAATAGCACACTGCCACTAGAAAAGCTTCTATATCAGGAATATTTTATATTTGCATGAACATATTTATTTACTGATTGTGCAGGTTTTTAAAACGTAGCTAGTATCTTTTTAATAGTCTCATGTATCTATTAAAGTTACAATTTTTCTCATTAAAAAATTACCCTGAGAGAGTATTATGTCTTACTAAACAAGGGTTAGCCCCATAATCTTTTCAAGTCAATCTCACTCACACATGTGCTGTTGTTTACTTTGGCTTTTGTGCCTGGTTTTGTGACAGTCCCAAGCTTAACTTAAAAACTAGTGAGAAAGTGAAGTTTCTTTCACTATGAGCCAGATTTATGCTACCTTTCAAAGGGGTCAAAATTCTTCATGACGTGAGTTCCTTCACTGAAATCAGCACCTGATGCCTACATATGATAAGTGCATAAGGGCAGAACTGGATATTGTATTGGGATTTTGAGCTGTTTTTTATTGCCTTTACTGGTTATCTGGATACTTGTTCCAGCTTCACAGAGGAACAGCCTTTTATCAAAGCTTTTCAGCTTTGAGGGTGGGGAGAAATGAGTTCTAATTAGAAAGAAATGACTAACATTTCATCCTAACACAACACGAGTTTTCTGAAAGGAAGATGAAGACAAATATCTGTCACATGTAATTCACTAAGATCTACTTCAGTTGTAACTATGTTTTGAAGCTCAGCTAAAATATATGGAAATAATCTTATAATTAAACGTTATGAAAGCTTATATATATATGTAATGTTCTGACTCCAGAATAGATTGGAAATCATTTAATTAAGTAGAATTGTCATTGAGTTCACACAAAGTTTATATATTTCATTGTCTAGGTAAATTATGTTATGAAGATCTGATCTTATAAGGCTTTTTGTATAATTAGAATTGAAAGTATGCATCTGAAATGTCATGTTCCAGAAATAACCTTTCCAGCTATGAATGACAGCAGACAAGTGTTCCAGAGCTGCCATGTAATTGATACCCTAGCAGTTGATTCCCTTAAAAAGTCATCAGTGCTTAGCTGTTACCATATGCATTTTATCAGAGCTATTCTTGGAGCTACTCAGTTTATCTCAGTAGCATAACCTTGAACACTCCCAACAGAAAGGAGTTTTTAAGTTAAGCAGATGTTTCCATGCACTTTTCAAATCTTAATTTATATCGCCTTTAACAAATATACCGGAAAAAATTTTTGCTGAGTGTTATCAAAATTTACTCCCAGAAATTTAAGACATAATCTTGCCAGAGAATTTAAGTGCTCCATGTCTATACTGTGAAACCTACACCCCCCTCTGAGCAAATTTATAAATAATAGATCATATCAGGATTATTAATTACTAATAAAATACTCATTACACTAGCAGAAACATGCTACTAACCTGATCTCTCAAAGTGCCTGTAAGAGTGGGCTAAGCCCAACGAAATCTTCTTGAACGACGTCCTTATCCAGAGTAAGATTTTTTTAGACAATCCCAGCATGAGAATTGTAGAGCCTCTAATCATAAAAACAAAACTACACAGTCTTGACAGTGTAGTTTTGTTTTTTTGCAATCCCTACACCCGAGGCGAGGCGGGGAATGCACGACTGCTCAGAAGTGCTAACATAGTAGTTTTGCTTTATATACCCCAGCTCTGCTGACAGGTCGGCCTCATCATGTCAGTGCCAGTTCTGATTGGTTTCCTAAAAGAAAGTATCTTGTGAGAGGGGATCCACTTTGTGTAACCATACACCACCTGTTGGTTTGACTGACAATGCTAATTTTGGAAGCACGAAAGAGATTCACTGGGGAAAAATCATCTGTTCCAAACATTTTGATTTATAATTCAATTTCTTTTATAAAGTGCAGTTTACAAGCTGTTGCAAATTTCCTAAGTCATAAGCGCAAGACGAAGAAAATAATAAAGAAGCGTTTTAGCAGAGGTTACGGACAAGTCAGAAGTAGTCATATCAGTGAGATTCAGCCTTACTTTCTTTCATTATAAAACATCCAAGAAGCTACCAAATGCATCTGTCAATCACCAGAATAAATACGTAAGCTGAGCTCAGACATGTGGCTGCACGCTATTAGAATACACTGTTTAAATTACTTTTTTCCATAACTTTGAATTCTATTTGGTAATATATAGATTTGGCTCTTTGGGCTTTTTTTGTTTCCTTCACAATTTTTCTGTTGGATGTTCCAAGCTGTTAAGCCTAACAAACAATAGCATACAAAGTGCAGAAATATAAATTCTGTGAAAGTAAACTAACACAGACAACTACCGTAATTTCTAAAAAAAGCAGATTTTAAGTCTAGCGGCTTTTTTCTAGACCTGTGGAGGTCTTGCACAGACCACAGAGTTAATCATCCATGGAACAGCATATTAGTTTGTGAACTCCCACTAGCCTAGCTTTGTCAGTCTATGCAGCTAATTGTACCATTAGATTGGTTGCCTCTGAAACAGAGGTCAGAGTTAGAAGACTACTCTCGTCTATAGCTGGAATGGGAGGTGTTTTACCACACTACCACATCTGCCTGTTTCCATTGTTGCCTTCTTATTCAAAAATCCTTTTCCTTCCCTATGAAGTGGAATATATGTAATGCATATCTAACAAACTCTTTAAGCACATAACGGGCCCTTAAGAGTACTTATGTGCTTAAAATCAAGCATGTGCTTTGTTTGGTAAATGGAGGACTTCAGTCTGCAGTTACCAAGATCCACATTGAAAAAGATCTCCCAGAGGATACCTAGAGAAGTAAATACAGGCTGGAGTTTTGTACTATCAGCTGCACTTGTGTTTAAAAACAATATGAAGGAAACATCCAGCAGGAACTCTAGAAAATGCCAAGGAGAGAGGATATGACCACTATGATTCCTGTAAGGGGGTATTATACTATAGTTTGCAGATCTGAAAGAAACAGGAAAGGACATATTGCTGTGATCTCATAAAATAGCTTCAGAAATTTGATCTGCCCTTTAATTTATCCATCCCATAAGGTGTCAACTTTATGGCTACTCTTGGTATGCAGCGTTAGGTACAGCAGCAGAAACTGGAGGAATAGTCTCTGGTAATATCTGGACTCTCACAGAGGTTGAAAGTCAGAGTATTATGGCTCATTTTTAACTTTTTGTAGCAAACAGATGTCAGAGAACCTAATCTCTCTGTATAAGACTTAGTATGATAACAAATGCAACTCTAGGCATTAGTGGGGAGGACAAGATAACTTCTACTAAAAGACACAAAATGTCCAAAGAAATCTGTGTAAAGGGTATCTAATTTCTGATTCTAAATAGTGACTTGCTAAATTAGCAGATGGCCATTTTTCTCTGTAGTTGAACACTTAAATAATCAGTGAAAAATCAAACTTGGAGAAAGAACACAGGCTAGTATCTGCAAACTTAATAAACACAGCCAGCTTAATTATGAAGTCCAAGTCAAATAAACAATTAAATAGTTTATGAACATGTGATAATTTCTAAATGACAGAAATGTGCAGACTGTCACTTTTGAAGTTATGAGATGGCCAGAAGTTCAAATTTTTCTATTTCAATTAAATCAACAGCAATTAATGACAATAATAGAGTTACAAGGAAAAAAATTTGCTGCATTCAAATACATAAACAAAATATATTGTATTTTTAAAATAAGTTCCTTCCCATTCTTTTTTTTTTGGAAGTTTTACGTTTGTTTTTGATCACTATTAAATCTATTTCCATTCCAACAAAAGTTTATACCTTCTCAACTTTTTACTTTTGCTGGTGAATTCAGAACTGAAATTGAACAGTGAAATATTTATCTCACGCTCTCAAGGAAATACAGATTATTTATATTGCGTGACTTCTGTTAACAGAACGACTATCAGCCAAGTGTGATTTCTACAAGCTTAGTGTCACATGGTGTATCCGCAATAAAAAGCGGAAGGATGACTTCAGTCGTCTTATTGTGTAGCAAAGGCTGCTGGTAAAAACGACATTATTTCTTTGCTCCAGGATCAAACAAAAGTCAGATCCAGATAATGACAATGACATTTTTTTCAGGCAGACATACAAATTGGGGATTGTTATGAAAATTCCAGCATTTGCTTCAGTCTGCTACTGTTTTAAGTATAAACTACGTATTGCCGATGTTACTATAGCTTACGTATTACACTGTAGGTCAACAATACATTTAAGAAATAGCAAGTAATCTTCAACACAATGAAACATTGTGGTGTGGATACCAGCAACCTCTTTGTATGTGATTCACTTTGATTAATTCTAATAATCCTATTGACTTGATGACTGGAGCTGCACAAAAAGAATGATTACTTTAGTAGGCCCCCATGAAGACGCCTTGAAAGCTGAAGACTCTAGTGAGAACTTAAAGACAAATTCATTCTTTCTTGAACACTGAAAGCTTCAAACTGCCACTTAGGCACATTTTCAATGTGCTTTTTTGAAGTGGAATTTCCTAATTTGTTTTTTCAAAAAATCACAACCTTTCCTCTTCATTGTTTGTCAAACAGCAGTAGTGTACTATATGCCGTAGCTGCACAGCCAATAAAGCATAAACCCTGCTTTCTTTCCTAGTCCCTTAATCTATCTATACATGCTAATTTGCAAACTGCATGAAAAGAATCTTTCCCATTTCCTTCTCTACTTCCATTTTCCCTCACTCCTTTCATTCTTTGTCCTGTTCTTTCCTATATAATGTCTGTTATATCCCCTTTCATATACTATTTTCATTTCACTTTGCCCCGCAACCAAATATGCAGAACCAAGGGAGTGATGAAATAAATAATTCGGTCACTTTAAATAAAACTCACCAATGCTGTCCTAAATCCTTATAGAATTGACAAAACACAACCCGAAATGTATTGAGATATTATATCCTTGCTGATTTTCCAGTTTTCTAAAGTTCACTTTTGAAAAAAATTTTGCTTTCCCTCCTTCTACTCACCTTCTTTCTTTAAACTTAGAAATTACTACAAAATTCTTAACTGTCAAACCATTAAATCCTGACTTGAATTCAAAATGCATTTTCAACACCTTCATCAACTTCCCTTCCCCTGCAAATACTATAAACTTCAGAACCTTAAATAAAGGTTATAAAATGCATTATATTCACAAGAATATCCACGTTTGTGTGCTGCAGCTGGCTTCTGAAAAGCTGCAGCCTTTTCAGATGCTAACGTCTCTTATGTGAGCTATTGTAACTGATTATGCAAGATATATCTTTTTCAATACAAACTAAAACTTGCTTGCAGAAAATTGTTTTACTTGTTTCTGAAGAAGGCACTGTCAGTTGCTCCCAAAGCAGAAAAGATAACTGAGGCGCTAAGCAATTTTTGAAACTACTTCAGCTATTTCACATGTGAACAACTTACTGGGAACTGTGACTAGATTTGAATGGGTATGTAATAGTTATCAGGGTCCATATTCACTAACTTCATGTTGATAGTTGTCCCTCATATAATCTCCTTGGAAATATCTAAGGAGCAGATTTACAGACTTTTCCCAAGTTTTTCTTGTATATTTTTTCTTCATATATCATCCCCACACATTTACATATGCAGAATAAGGAAGGAATAAAAACATTACTTACTCAGCACCTCACCCTACTAACAAAACCTGAGACCCTGAGTAAAGAATATATTTACTAACTGTTCCACTTCCTTCCACAAAACAATAATTAAAATCATAATACTGGGGGCAAATTTTAACTGACATCGAGATAGTCCTTAGAATTTAATAGATACATACATCCTGTCAAATTTTGCAGACCTTTTAACAAATTCATGGGCATCTATGAAAAGAAACAAACACACTTACCAGGTTTCATAATGGATCCATTCTCTGGGAACACTTGGAGTAATAGCTGTGTTCCTCATTGGCAAAAGAAGGTTGCTGGGGTTTTTGTTTATCTGTTTATAAATACCACATTCTACTATTTTGTAAGAAAACCATAGGTAAGAACAGACATACAGATTTCTGTTTTGCCTCATGTATTATTTAGAAAAGCATTAACACTTTTTTTTTTAAAGTCAAGTCATGTTTTGTGAATCAAGGTGAAAAAAAGCCCACGTCAAACATTAAAGTTCAAGTTCTTACAGGCTGATAATCAAGAAGAAAAGCAAGAAGAACCCAATGCCTTAAATTTGCTGAGGAATCGAGATCAGCAGGCACTGAATTCTACACTTTCATTTTTACAGAATGGATTTTTAAACAGGAAATCTTATATGCCATACTTATGGATTCCAGCTGACAAAAGAGCATACATTTTAGGGTTTTAAAATTTTTTTAGGGATGTCTGGTATGTACTTTGTCAGTCCTCTTAATGTGACTGCAGTTAGAAACACAGTATTTTCTGTGAAATCTTTAAATCTAAACCACATGTGCAAAGGAGGGGCTTAGTCAGCAGAAAGGTAGTTGTATGGGATCCACAAGATGTTTGATACCTATCTCCATTCCATTTTGGAAAAAACTGTTTGTGAGAGATATGGGGCAAATAAGCAGAGCAAGAACCGCAGTCCTCAGCTACTATATTTATGTGCAAGTATACACAACCTTGTGACTCTTCTGTGGGCAGGATGCCGTTGACTTTTCCATAATGTCAAGCAGGCGATTTATGTGATCAGGTGAAGACATGTACATGATTTTTTTTCCAGCTCATTTCCTCTCTATGCCTGTACTTTAATTTGGAGATAAATTTAAGTTTCTACCAGCCAACCTGCATCTTGTTGGAGACAAATGTTTAATGTTTTGGTATTATGATTTAAGCAACTATCAAAAATGTTATTTCAGTCCCAGTTTTGCACAGATGACATCTACCTAGATGATGCACTGCTCTCTGTGAGAAGTGTGAATGTATTGTTGTGGTATACAAACCCATTGTAGGCCTAATCAATGTTTATATAAAGAATGACAAAATGTTGCGCAATAGGCAGTTGCACAATACACATGTACCTGTGGTATTGGCCAAGCCATACCCAGTGCACTGAAGCAGAAGTCTGAGTAGCATGAATTGTTTGCTAGGTAGGACTTTGAAAATCTGAATCAGAAGGACCAAGCTAAAGAACAGTTGCTCCCAAGTCTAACTAGATGTTCTGTTGGTTATTGTGCCAGTCAAACAGCCATCCAAAATGGGACGTTTTCTGAACTACTTTTTTCAGTGCTGCAAACGAATGACACTATGAAAGTCCTCCTCTTTCTCTGCAAAAGGAGCTTTGCAGTGAAGTGAAAAAAGACACCTAGACTCCAAATTCAAGAGATGGAGACAAATTTCTTCATGCTAATGCCTGCCCTACTATCCAAAAGATTCAATTTCAGTTCAGGTTTTCTTTATACCCTGAATGGATGCTGTGGGTCTTGAGGAATCCTATCATTGGGAAGTCTTTGGCTAAACTAAGGGTGTGCTCTGAAATTAGCATGGGTATCACTTCATAGTCCACTCCTTTGGACTGTAATGACATGCATCAACTGGAAATGGACTGCTTTGTCAAAGTAATCCAGTCCTGAAAGCAGAAGCAATTTAGTGGAAGACTTCTCCATTATGCTGCCTTAAAGAGACTTTCTCTTCCCTGAAGACATTCTTGGTACTAGGTTTGCTATTATTAGTAACCACTCCTTTTGATGCCCAGCCTCCTAAAAATGTCTCAAAGCTGTTAGAAATAAGCTGTATTTAATAAACCAGAGAATTCTGTAGTTATAAACTCATTTTGTTTTAAGCCCTCCTTCGTTTGTGTCTGAATTCTCTATACAAGCTAGTGGGAAGAACTACTGATGGAATTGATGGCACTGATGGAATTTGTAGAAGAATAAAACAGTGGGTACTGATCAATCACCAAGGAGATCTGTAATTCTGAAGGCTAATGTCTCTTTTTTCCATCATCTTCTTCTGCTAGATTTGTCCAACAAACCAGAACAAATTTGCAAGAAATTAGAAATCACTGTCTAATAAATGTTGTGCACAGGTGAATTTTTATTTATAAAGAAACCAAATACAAATTGTAACCTATATAAAAATTGAATAGCACTCAAAGATTCATCTTCTCCTCACCCATGGCCAACATCTACTAATGGACACAGCAAACAATATGAACACCTTCATGAATCAGACATCTTGCAGTTCAGTCCATCTTCTGATCCTCAGCAGCAGACAGGAGAAGAACAGGATCATGTTCCAAATTGAAGCTAATCTCTTGTGGCCACTCAAGTTCCAGATACATTCCTTGAAGCCAGAGTTTCTCTTTAAACCTGTTTAAAAAAGGTCGGTTAATATTGCCTATATTTTTAATGGTGGCAGCTGCAGCATTCCCCTTCATAAGCAACACTGCGGTTGACATATGCTGTTCTCTGTCGTCTTGAGACAATACGAGATTAGAGATCAAATACAGAGTGATTCCAGACAGAACATAAAATATCCTAAAACTCATCTTACTGACAATTAACATAACCAGAGGGCACTTCAGTTATAAAGAACAGAAGAGATGAGAAAAATAAGGAGAAACTTGACCTTTCTGTATGATCTACCTGTTTTAATCATACTGAATTCTCTATGTGCCCTAAGTAAAATTAACATGATCTTGCATTTGATTTTTTTGCTTTGGAATGTCTGCCATCTCACAGCAATACGGAAAAAACCTGAACAAAATATATGGGATCAATGCTTGATCAGCTGGACATAAGGGAAAGTGTGCAGGCAGCTTATGATGAAATGAGAACAGCTTTTGAATCAACATATGCAATAATTTTCCTTTCCTTTTTACATATTGCTCTACATCTAGATAGACAAACCGCAGGAACTTAAAGACAAAAGAACACTGCCCTTTCTTTTTTCTATGGCTTTTTGCCATAGAATTCACTATATATGAAAAGTTCAGAAAATATTCAGACACTTTTAGGCAACAAATGCATTTTTATGTGACCAGTGTAAACTTAACATTTTGAGCAGGCTGTGAAAGACTAGCCTGACAGAAATCCCACAGATTCTCAATGACTTTCCCAGATCACATTAACCATCACTTCTTTAAAGCCATGAGACTCCTGGAGCCTCTTTTGCATCACATTGCTCCACATACCTTCTAGAAAGAAAGCTATTTTACCGTATCATCATGAAATCAACATTTCACCATAAAACAGTCTTACCAATTTCAGAGTTCTGTAATAAACATTAATCAATAGAATTGTTCAGGTATTTTCTATTGAAAATCTCTGACAGGTTTTCTGTCAGAAAAGTTTTGACAAACTGACAACAAGTCTTATTTTTATGTGCACAATCTCTTCCTAACTCTCACCTACATCCCAGGTTACCTCATCTTATCTGATGTTTCCAGTGAAACAGTGAACTAATAGTAGAGTAAACCAGATTAGTAACGGTCACAGGGTATAAAAGCTCTCTCATTCCTGAATACATTGCTCAAAAGACAGGCAATTCTAACACCATAAGCTACAGTAGGCTATCAGAGACTAAATTCAGGAGGCAAGATTTAACCTTGTGCAAGAAGTCACCACAACAACTATTGACTTCATGTATTTCATTTAATCTTCTGAAATTGCACAGTGGGAAGTTTTGTCATCTTTAATCAATTAATGAACAATGACTGTTCCTGTGCTATTAGGACTGCTATTTATTCTTCTAAATAAGATGCTTACCTAGTAGAAAACTTTGTTTACATATTCTGTTATTGAAACTTCATGTTCATGTAGTTGTATCAATTTGAACTTCTGGAATACTTTGTATCTTTGAGCTGTTCAATCTTATATTAATATCTAGATTAAGATATCTAGATTTTAAAAAATTATTTCACTAACTAAATACCTTATTGCACAAACTCAATTTTCTACTGTATTACAAGGTCTTTCATTGAACAGAATTGCGTTATCTCCTGGTGAAGAATTAAATGTAAAAGGCAGTCACACATTATCCATTTCATTTACATTATGCAAAAATTCATAGGATTAGGAAGAGTACTTGATGTGTGCTTTGTAAATTAAGGTCCTTACAGCTATTGGAGCATTACAAGATGTAGCACAGAGTAAGCTGCAAGTTACCTTACTGGGAGATGTTTAGCCACTGGCCTTTGATCTCACACACAATGTGTGTCGTGGGCTTGTACTAGCTCAGTTGTGGTGATGTTCACTTCTTCTGAAAAGTATCCATCTTCCCATTCTGATTTAGCTTGAGTTATAGTGGAAATTTCTGGGGTTTTATTTTTCTCTGAAACAAAACATGTACGTTAGTAGGTGGAAATTAGGTGCTCATATACTATGGCACCAATGTGCCTAAAAGCATGCAGCTGGCATAAATCACCTATCACTGTTACGAAAGCAGAACAGTGTGCCTTTCCAATTTCATTGCTGGCAACACAGATATATTTCCCAGTATCAGCAAGGACTACATTTCTTTTTAAAAGGTAATAGGTATCTCCTAATTTCTCAATCTGTAAAACAATAGAATGCACACAGGAGATTATTAGTAGCATAAAACAAAATATATTATCTTTCTCACAAGAAATATTTCAGGAACATTACAACATACACTGATGTCTCCAGATACCACTTGGATATCATCCTTCATCCAGCAGACATGTGGTTTGGGCTTTCCATGTATAGTGCAATGCAAGATTAAATCTTCTCCTTCTTGTAGAGTTGTATGACCAAATTTTTGTATGAAGTTTGGCTGTTTCCCTTGTACTGAAAAAAAATTATTCACTGTATTTTAAAGGGCACAACTAAAGCAACTGAAGAAAAAATCTGTTCTCATAATTATAAAGTTCACCACATTGCATGACAAAGAGAACCTTTATTGATGCCTGGAACTCAGGATAACTTGTCTGCAAGACAGTTAGTAGGCAGACATCGTTTATCTGTATAATATAAAGTTTGTTAAAACACATGGATATTAAGCACCCAAGAATTTCATGCATCGGCATAGTGATATTAGTTCCATGGTAATGCTAAAGAATCATGTTCTTTGTGTAGGTAGTAGGCAAGTCTATGTGGATTATTGTGTTTCAGTGAAGGTGGAAGAGTAAATATCCCCCACAAATTTATAGTGACAAAGTCAAGAGAGCAAACTTTTGCATTTAGTGCATTGTTGTACATTATGCTTTCCTCAATTTTTTTTTCCCTATTCTTCTAGTCAAAAAATTATTATTGAAAAAGTAAAAAAAAACCCACTTATCTATATTTGCAACAATGACGAAGGCCAGAATGTGGCTTTGTACCACTTTGATCAAGATCATTATTTCGGTCATCATTAATACTGAAACCATGTACTACCAGATCATCCAGTACAAATCTGATTCAGACCAAGGTTGGGCAAATAATTGTATTTCTATTGCAATAACCAGAGCACATGAGATTGAGTTTGTGCTGGCTTCATGCCACCTGTGGGAGGGCAGATGACACCTGAGCCAGTACAAGGCTTGGCTAATACAAATTAACCCATCAAAATTGTTTGAAGAAATTTCAACCATCAGTTCAACATCGGTTTGTACTGAACCAAAGCTTTACTTCATGTGACATGTAACTTAATGAGCTGTAAAGATGGATTTACTGGATCACTGTACTACTACCTGAAGTTCCACTTACATTCCACCTCCAGGGCCACAGTAAAAATGAAGACGACCTCAAAACTCAGACTAAGTATTCTTGACACAGGGAATCCAAAACAGCAGATGTTAACACACAGAAGCACACACAAAGACATATACTACAACAAAAATGAACATTTTGCACTCCTATCACATGAAGAATGTCTTTTTGTTCCTCTTTACTACAAATTGTACCATGTGTCCATAATATTTAACAAAAATAATCACAAAAATAATCAGAAAGTTACTGAAATGTGTGATAAATAACAGAGCTTGAAACTGCTCTCAACTATGCCAGCATCACTCCATTGTTTTAGCACAAAAATTTTTTCTTTATGCTATTATGAAACAAAAATCAGCATATCTCACAAAGATGTCCAGCAACTTCTAAACCCAAATATATTAAGCCCATGGCTATTTTTGTCAAATGCGGGGCTGTCAGCATGGTGAGGCAGACATTTTAACCTACTGTATTGATAAATCCACTGCTTAGGTGAGCTCTTACTTGCAATAAGATTTCAAGCTTAGCTGCTTTTACGTTCTTCCCACGTACTGTAGGACTGAGGCCACAATATAGAGCAGAAGTGTATGAGCTTTACTGTCTCATACTCTTGCTAACCTAAGGTCTGTATTAGCCAGTCCCAGCAGATCAAACAACTCGGTTCTTAGCTGTTGAAAGTTAGCAAGCGCAAACTGCCACCACCATTGCTTTGCATGCACCTGAAGCACAGAAATTTGGGATCTGCAGCTTCACTTCAAGCAAGAGAACCAAGCTTTGCCTCTTTGCAGGCAGCTGCTTCTTTGCAGGCAGCTGGCAATAAGTCACTAACAGTGCATGATTAGCTTGTATTCCGGTGGAAGATGTTAAGTGGGCATCAGCCACTCCTTGTGATATTTTTGGCTGGATTCCATTACTTTGTATTGTATTACCTTGTGAAGTCAGGCTGCATCTCATACCAGGATGGTTTTTACCATTAAAAAAAAAAAAAATCTGAGTGGAATGGTGATAATGATCAGACCCCATCTTGATCTTGTATCAGTAAGTCAGCAGAACATAAAAACTAAAATGACCAGTTTCTAGAGAGCAAAAGGGAAAGTATGTGCAAAGAAACCCATGAAGTGACAGTTACTACAACTCTTTAAGGCACAGGCTAGAACTCAACAGGGAAACAAAGTCTGCTGTAAAAGAAGAGTTCATCCTCTGAAAGCAACCTTCAAAATAGGATGGACGGTTATATTTCACCAATGGTTTTCCCATGGTATCATAATGAAATGTCAGAATAAGCTAAGACAATTTGTTAATTAAAAATGATTTCTTGGCTGAACATCCCATGAACCACAACGGTTAGAAGGGACAGATCTTTTTTCCTTCATTGTGGAGGGGAAACATTTCAGGTAGTCAGTGGTACCGAAATCCCACTCTGATGGCTTCAAATAAGAAGTTTGTCAAATATTAAATATTACATAGGTTATTTGTGGGAACCAGTAGAGTTCTGCTGCAAACTGGGGAGCCAGCAAGGAAAACTCAGCAGTCTGGAGCAATGCAAAAACTGCAGGTCAAGACATTACCTGCATCTGGCTTTATCACACAGCTTTCACCCCTGCCCCAAGTCTCTCTCACGCACAGGTAGTTTTCATTTTTTATTACTTTGCTTCATGGTTATTCTTAATCCCTTTACTCTGGGCATATAATTTCCAATCTCTGATGTCTTGAAATGTGATATTAGCAAGTTTATTAACGTCCCCTTATCTTCTGAAAAAATTTAGACTAGACTGATTCACACCATGCTGCTCAGAGACTTTGGATTCGCTCAACATTGCTCTAAATTAAGACACTGTGCTTTATTGTTTAGAGCTTTTGTCTCAGTCAAGGTCCTAACAAAATCAGACGGAATTTTGTTAAGGAATACCAAGTCAGTTTCATGACCCAATTGATCTGAAATATCCATAATCCAAAGCTCCAATCTCCTTGAATACCATGGTGTAGCCTCATTAAAGAAAGTCTGAGCAGGAATTTTTAGACACAGCTCCTCTGAGCCACAAAAGATATACACACACAAAAATTACTAGCTTACTCTAGCAAAGTCTCCAGAGAAAAGTCCAGAAATAGGCATACCTTACCAGTCATTTGAGAGGAGGCCACCTTCTCCATTGCAGTTTCAGCCACATCCAAAGACAACCAGGGCAATGCCTCATCCTCCCTTTGTCTACTGGCTCATACCTGGGCCCTCAGACAGGCTACTTCTTTTGAAAAGTGAAAATAATTAATCCCTTTCCCCTCCAAACTTATGCACCTTGTGTAAATACCCCTTCACACAACTCCACATCTTGTAATCAAGCAATCTCATTCACCACTTTCTTTTTTAATGGGTGTCTGCGTATGAGGAAGGAGGAAGGGACACTAGGTTAGTAATATGTCTAAGTATAATATTTTTGTTGTAAGGCTAGAGAGATCAAGATTTAAATCTGCTCTTTAAGAGAGCCATCAGGAAAATGCAAACATTTTGGGGTCTTGAAGTAACTATGGGTTCAAACTGTGACTGTGATGAGGGGAACTCAGAACTGTAAAACAAGAAAGTAACAGAACCAGAACAATACAAAACACCTAGATGTACTCCCTGCTTCTACAGTACAGTTAAAAGAAGGAAGAAGTAAAGCATGCACAACCATTTAAAAACAAAGAAGGGTGGGGAAACATTACGTTGACATTATTACCGAAACAAAACGAGTGTGGTTTTCTTTCAGAGAAATATTAGTGTATCATGAGACTGCATCACTGTCACTCTTTTTTTTAAAGATTAACTGAACAGAAAATAGCAGGAATTTTTCAGAAAAAAATTTTGGGCATTCATTTAGAGTCCTTAAATAAAGAGTATTTAAACCCAGACTGCCAACACAACAGTAATCAGCCTTGATCACATCTTTGTTTACAAAGCAAAGCATTAAAAGCAGGAGACTTTCAGTATCCAGCTGTGCATCTGCTATCTCTAATCTCTCTCTTTTTTAAAAATCTTGTTTCCTGCAGCAATTAAAAGTGTGGCTGGTATCCACATACCCATTAAAAACTGTGCATTTAAAACTATTCCTTATTTAAAGTAGATGCAATACCATACTCACAAAATCAAGTTTTCTTCATCTAAAATTCACAGAAATGTTCAAATTATCAGAGGAAAGATTTAATGAACAAAGGGGTTACGTACTTCTACAATGATTTATTAAGATCTACAGACTTGCTAAGGCAATTTCTGACCTTAAATTTATACCTTTTGGCATATAATAATTATAATATCTGACTGCAAAACCAACAACATTCTCAGAAGTGACAAGGTGTTTGTTTTGACATTTATTATTGTTTCACAGTCTCTGTTATATAGCAATAGCACAAAATGCCATACTTGTGTGTACTCTTGAAAATAATAGTGTACTCTCACAAGCCAAACTTGAAAGATCTTATTGAACATTTAAATAGGAATTCAATTCCAGGATTTAATCCAGTAGTAGGAAGCTTACTTTTCACAGATAATATGTTTGAGTAAAAATGAAAGTGGATGTGTTGGCACAGGAGCAGATCATAAGCCACTTCAACTGCTTTTGAACTGAAAAGACTGAGGCTCACTTTCCTTTGGAAGGCAGCTGGCTTCCCTGGGTGACAGGTAATCTGTTGTGATCTTCCATATAAGCTTTAAATCTATATAATTTTAATCAGGGTGTACAAAGAACTCTGCATTAATCTACCCTTCCCCAGTGGAACAATTTTGTTTTGTCTTGGCATAGTTGGAGACAAGATCACCCTTGACATCATCTTTTCTGTGAGGCTCTGTTGAAATCTGGGCTACCCAATTTGTCAGTTACAATAGGCATCAATTTGTCAGTTACAATAGGCATTTATGGTTTAAGCTCACCAAGTATGGCATTTCACTACTATTCTGTTTTTGTAGTTTCGTGGGCAGAGGGCAGCTTTCCTTTAGTGACTTTCTAGATAGAAGTGTCTTAAAAATGTCCTTCTCCAGCCAAAAAAATTGAGCACAGGTGCTGTTTCAACACCACGTCGTAACAGTGAACAGTTACAGGGGCATTATGTCAATACAGCTTCCTCATCTGGAAAGCCTTCTTGGAGCATATAATCCCAAATCAAGTCTTAAATAGCAATGCCTTGAAAAAGTCCATTAAGATAAACGACTTTTATGTCTTGTTCAGTACATGAGCTACCATTAGTACTTTCAAACTATGATGAAAAAAGAAAAATAGATAAGGAAAATACAAACTTTAGCAACAAGAGTGATTTCATGAACTATTTAAACCATAATCCAGAAGGAAAAAAAATCAGCATTGTATTGACTTTAAAAGCTTTTCTGCTAAGGGGGCAAAACATAAGTATACTTGATTAGACACATGCAGCATGATAGTAAAAATTTTACTAAAGGCAGAATATGCTTGTTCATAGGCATACGCAGCACAGATTTGTAAATGTTGGAACAAAATTTACCCTCTCTCTGAGGCTTCTCTTTAACTCCTCCCCTCTTAAAGGAAAAATGACAGTCCTCCTTGTTATACTTGGAACTGGGAGTGTAAGACAAACTCCAATAAAAGATTACATCACTGGCTAGCTTCTGAATAGTATGAACAAAAAGATGGAATAAATCCCACTTGGATTCAAAGCTGCATCTCTTACTCTCACACAATTTTGTAAACTGGCCTTGTATTCTGTCTGTCAAATCTCAGGTAAAGCAAGTAACTGAGTAAGTAACTGAGATCTCTCCCACTTGCTCTAAAGCCTGTTAAATGAAATTAACAGAAACAGATTTAATGCAAATGTGTACGAGGGAGAAAATCTGCATGCCTGCTCCCTTGCAATACCCTACAAGCCTGGATGTACATCAGAAAGTGTTACAAGGGAGGAGAAAGAATTTGTTCCCATAATCTGTGTACACTCATCCAGTGGTTCTGTGTCTGTTTGTTGCCTTTTTAACTCATAGGGCTGATTGTCATAAATAGTAAGCTGTCTTTCTGTAAGTGCCAGCAAGCAATCAGATCCAACTACAAGTCTAGATTCAAGCTACCTCCAGTTCCTGCTCTATGACATGATGAAAAGTTCACATCTTTTTCTCCAGCTTTGACGGAACTGCAAGTGAGTTTGGGACAAATTTTTCCAAGCAGGGCTGGAATCCTAGCTCTAGCTTTGCTTTCTGAAGGACAAAGACTCACCTTGCAGTGTTGTTTTGCTCAACAAATGGCTCTCCTCCAATCAAAAAGATCAAATGCATATCTCTGAACTCACACACTGGCCATATAAAAAAAGACAGAACAATGATCATTCTAGCACTGAGCTTTCTGTAGTTTTCAAAGATGAAGGATCCACAAGTTAAAACAGAGATGCAGCTTTGAGCCCAGCATCTATAGAGCTATAATGACTGTTTTTGTCACAAGCCTTATGACAGTTAATGCTTAATTTAAAGGCCTAATTCTGGCAGAGGCAAGACAGAAGAGGAAAGAGAACATCTCTGTTTTCCCTCCTGGGTTTTTTTATGTGCATATACTTAGCCTCAATACCGAAGGCAAAAATGCCTGAAAAAGTGACCCAAGTATTATATAAAGTTACTTAGAAAAGCAAAAAACAAGTCAAAAGAACATCCATGATTACTTTTAATTTTTGAATGATGGCAACTCTCAGTAAAAACAGAGGATTGAAGGGCAGCCATCACCTAGAAGACTCATTTTCAAATAGAAAATGAGTGTTATGAACAGGATAAAGTTATCAAGCACCAGCAGCTCTGCAGCAGGCAAAACCTAACAACATGTAGGAGAGGCATTTTGGTTTGTTCTTACCACAATATTGCTTAATGTACCGCTTATGCAAGTCAGCTTGCTCACATAGGTTCTTTGCTGTATGTTTATAACAATCACACATAAAGTCACAAGGGCACAAAAACACTAAACTGAATTTTACTTTTATGAAAATTGAAACATTCAAAATCATACTAATTATTAAAATTAGCTTTATTGTGAAATGGAAAGTACACTTTAGGAAAATAAGTTATTTTTATACCTGAGAGAATTCTTGTGAATCAACATTTTTGGGAGATGACTGAACTTACAAAGTTGTTCATTAAGGGTAATACCAATTTTAGCTAGAATTTACTTTGTTCCCCCAGCTGCTCACCACCTCCTCCTCCTGCTCCCTCTCGTATGGCTGTGAGGTTATACTCTCTTGAGAACTTCTCCTGTTTCAAAGTTACAGGAATTTTAATAAAGTTGCAGTCACTGGGCCAAAATATCTAAATGTCAGTCTTCAATCTCACTGACCGTTGACAATTTGCAATACATTTCTGCTCATAGCATGCTACATAGTAAAAGGCTTACTTCATTTCTGCAAATTATGCAAGAGAAAGTCAATATTTCCTCTCTATAAATTTTCCACACCAATGCAGTTGTAATATGAAAGCTACAAACCAAAGATGCAAGAAAAATGATGTAGCTATTTGTGAATTGTTTTTACTGTACAAATGCAAGAAGTACTGGAGCTAAAGAATGAAGTTATGTTTGAGGATTTGTAAACAAAATCTTCCACTGGCACAGTTATGTCAATGTTATCAAATATTTAAACAAATTACTACTTTAATAAAAAATATTTGTGGTTGTTCTTGTCAAGAATGAAATGCAATATGTAGGTGAACAAAGTTCTGGTTTGGATTTACTACTTTGAAGTTACAGGAGAATTCTATTTGACTGAAATAAAACAAATTTTGTTTTGGTGTGAATACACTTTTGAGTATTTCCCCAATTTGGTTGATCCTCTTTGAAATCAGTGTGTTAAAAATTTTAAACATGCAGAAATGCTCGCTTCATAAACTATTGTTTCTTGTTTTATACTAACAATTTAGTGGATTATTTGAAATATTTATATCTTTAATTTTATAAGAAGGCAGAGAAAGTATTGCAAGCATCTACCTAAGCAGATTGGTATGTTGGAACGTCTCATTTTGTAAACATTTGGGGTTTTTGGTCTACTGTATGCTAGGTGCCACTTACACAAATCCTGATGATTCTGGGTCAAATCTTTGTAGTGCAGACAATCACAGCTCTATTGGAACTGCTGCAACTTTCATTTGTGGAGACTATCTGCTGGGCTGAGACAGATTTAAATCTGATCTATGCCAGTGCAATCATGAATGGTATGATTTCTTTACTAAGAAGCTTTATCCTACAAATAATTTTTTTTAAAAAGTATATGAGAAAAATGTGGTTGGAAATAATACATCCGATGTTTAAAAAACATTTCAACACCCTTCACACCCCCTCCCAAAAAAAGGCATATCATAAAATATACATTGATCTGAGCACTCTACCTGGGTGTATTCTTGACATTTATTACCTATAACCATTAAAACTGTTTCCAACACTTTGTAATGCCAACATTTTATAAAGCAAAACTCTGCCTCAGATTCTAGAAAATCTTTGTAACTTTTTTATCTCAACATCACTATGAGAAAGGAAAATAAGCACATAATACTGGTATTAAAGAAACAAGCAATATATTGAGTGTGACATAAAAGTGGTTTGGTACAGATTGTGAAAGATGCAGTGTAAAAAAATAAATTTAATGTTGTCTCAGCATGTGGGAATTAAGTCCAGTGCAGTCAATATTGTACTTATTTTGTGAATAGCCAGTACATTAGTGATATGCTAATATAGATGACACACAGCATTATGCAGTCTATTCTTGTAATAGGTGGCCTGTTACCTTTCACATGAAGAATGGCACTTGATGAGATAGTGCCGTTCAAATTTTTAGCCCGAACAACATAGAGGCCAGCATCTTTATCACACACCTTCTGAATGAACAGAATATGCTTTGTCTCCTTTTGTAAAAGCTTTAAGTGCTCATCTGCAGTCAGTTTCTGGCCCTTCTTGTACCTGAAGCAGAGAGTCAGTTTTCAAGTCAGATTTATATCACTGTATGCCAAGCAGAACTTCGCAAATTCAGACAACCTCTATAACACTACCTTGATAGCAAGTGATAGAGCTCACTGCTGTACTCTCATTCCTCAGTTTTAGAGTTATATGTATATATGGATGAATATTGAAACAATTCAAATTGCTGGATAATACATTCTTAATACTAGAAAATGTGGTTCTGAAAATGGTTTTCAATGGACAAGTCAGTTATCTCACTGCAGTATCGGAGAGAGTAACATGAAGGCCTGGGCCCTCAGTTTTGTGCTGAAACATTTTTGCTAGTAAGATGTTGAGTCAATCCACATTCAACTCATGAATAGGCTCTTAAGATGCAACATACAAACTTTCTGAACTTGTGTCTTCAGTATAAAGAACAGTCAAGGACCTGTTCCTCCACCCCAGTCCCCTTAGCGTTTACTTAGTTCACGTCATCAAACAGGATAGAACAATGCATCAGGAGTTATTTCAGAGAACTGGTGTCATATTCTAACATTTGAAGATCTGTCACCATGTATTGGAATTGACTCCTCATTTACATATTGGAAGTGAGGGAAAATTCTGGCTCTTCTTGCCTTGTGATGTTTCAGCATAAGCTACATTTAACCTAACACAAATATAGAAATGCTTTTCCACATGTATATCCAATAAAATATCTACCATCAGTACAAAATACATGGTACTGGTAAATTTTTATTTACAAAACCCCACATTTTTTTCTGTTTTCATAAATTTATGATTTGCAAAATGCTTTCAGTTGAATGTTATTTTTTAAAAGACCATATATCAACAGTGTATGTATATTTGAGCTAAATTAACGCTTTCTTATGATAAAACAAAACTGAAGGTATTTCTTGTTTCACCAACAATACTCCTCAAAGTGTAGAATACCGGGATTTAAAACAAAGTAACTTTATTGATACCAACACAGTATAGCACCAAGGTTGCAGTGTTCAGTATTTTTCTCAGTGCCATAGAAGAAAATTCAGCTTACTAAAAGCTTATAGTTTGCCTAATTCCTTACATGTGTAATAATAATCTTAACATGAAAACGTTTCCAGCAAGAGCCATATCTAATTTTAATACATTAAAAGAAAGGCCTCCATTGTGAACGTCTAATGGAATAACTGAAGAAATGGCAAATGAGGTAAAATTTTAGGAAAATACCCCAACACATAGAGAACTACTATCAAAATCTTGAAATCCTGGCCCTCTTTCAGGCCTTATTCCCTTTGGCAGGGAATTTCTAAAAAATCATCTTAAAAGATGTTTATATTACATCATCTGTATTTCTCACAAATGCAGTATAAAGCAATCTTAAAGACATAAAGCAATTCAGAGAGAAATAGAGAGTACACACAAATATATAATATAAAACTGGTTCTCTTAGTGTAGACATTTAGTTTTTTTTTTTTAACCTGTAACTTCTCTCCAGTTTTTGACAACTGACTCTCACGTATGTATAAATGTGTCTCTCTATATATGTAGTGGCTCTATAAATATTTTAGCCGTGTGCACACGTGTATGTATCTGTCCGTCCATATATAGTGCCAAGATCCTGAGAAAATGCAGGTGAATTTACTTACGGTAAATCTGGTGTGCGCTTTGTTTTAAGAAATTATTGAACAACTGGAATGTCATATTCCAGAATATAAAAACTATATGATGTATTTGCTTAAAAAACATCGGATATGATTGCAGTAGTTTGATGCTGTCATTACTCATAAAATTAAGTACACAGAGATTATTTCAAGTAGATTAATTGTCAAAAGCAATTTTGAAGTTGGGAATCATGCAGAAGTGTGGAGTAGAAAGGATACAAGCCATTTATGCTAGTCTATAGATTAATTAATTTGGTTATAAGTGGTTCAAGGTGTCTTGCTAACAGGTATATTTACTTCTTCTCATCATAAGCTACCCACCATGTCAGTGTAGGCTCTGGAAATCCTGTTACTTCTACTTCCAAAGTTACCGGAGAACCTTCCATGACGGTTTTGTTAGACAGAAGCTGGGAGAAGTTAGGCGCCTGTCCAGCTAGGCTGGCCACGGTGTTCTTTTCTGATGAACTTTTAATCTCTTCTCGGGTGACCATCTGCCTCTGACAGCTTCTGGTGGTGTCTGATTGAAACATGAAACCTGAGAATGCATCAGGCAAAGCATGCAGCCTGTCCTGGGTTTTAGTACAGTTATTCAAGTCATGCAATTGTTCTTGTGTTTCTGCCATGCTTTTATGAAGTTCAAGGTGTTGCAAATGTGTTTTGCACACTTCAGTCATCATGCTATGTACTGGTTTGGCATTTATAGTGCAGGAAGCAGTGCTAGCTTCAGATATTCCTTGTAAGCTACAAGTCAAAGGAGATACTGCTCTGACTTTTGGACCAGAATCTGTTGAAGAGATACAAAACTTCTCAAACTGATCTGATGGGCTTTCCATTCTATTATTTGTAGCATCAGCATAAGCAGAATTTGTTAAGAGATCAGATGCTTCCATCACTTTTTTAATACTAGTGGTTTTCTGCATTTGCAAGCTATAGGAACTGACATGCAGACTATGAGAACTACGATAGCACTGCTCTTCTAGCTCTGTTTCAGAATGTAAGAGGTTGGATTCTGGTGTCTCAGAAAGCGGTGGCAAAGAGATATCATCAGGTGATATACACTCATATTCATCTCCGGAGGGTATTTCTTCTGCCAACAATTCAGTCTGTAAACTATCCTCTTTGGCTGAAGATGACAGCTCTGTATCCTCTGAAACAAGATCCTCATCAGCTGGACAGATAATTGGAATATCAGCCAATTTATTCCTCTCCTTAAATTAGGAGGCAAAAGAAGAGAAGGGAAAGAAGAAGAAAGAAAAACAGAGAAAGAGAACGAGTTATCATTCTATGCATCCCCTTTTCATTCAGAAGCTAGCAACAATATTTGAAATATTTCTTCTAATTAAGCTTAATGTATTCTGAGAAGCAGGAGGATATACATGGAAAAGGACAATTCCTCAGAAAATTTTGCACCAGCTAACTGGAATTTCAAACTGTTTGGACAGATTCTAGCAGATATTATTATTATAATATATAAGCATTTATTATAAGAGTAAAAATAAAAGAAAAAGTACCTCTTTCTATAAACAAAGGACAACCTGTGAATTTTTTGTAGGTGCTGTTTATAAAAGCATTTGCAAGGTGAAAGTGGAGGAGGAGGTGGCCTAATTACATCTAAATGGGAAACAGTTACATAGCAATAAAAATATATTAACAGCCAAGTTACTGGACTTTGATTCTTTGAGAGTCACTGGTCATGTTCAAGATTTACAGAATTAAACTAACATCTCTAAGATATTTTCCAAGCATTTTATATTTCCCTCATTTTTTGCCAGCTATTTCAAGATCTTGTCCAAACATTACAGAAAACTATGTTAAAAATATTTTTATATTATCTTGGATCCAGAATAAAAAAAAAAACCCTCTCATCATGTTTCAAAAAGAATTGGATGTGGCACGAGCGCGTTAATTTTAATCACAGAGCATCAAAGACATTATTTGACTTATTAATTACTTCTCTGCCTCTTGATTTTCATATAAATGTGTAATCACATATTCATGCCTATTTAATTTGTGCCAGGGCACAGCAAAGGTGCTCATAATGTTTTCTTATGCTATTCTCTCATTTTTGAGTTCTATACAAAAATATGTAATCTACTAAGCAATGTTTCTATCACCTATAAACTGTTCACTAAAATCAGTTAGCCGATATACTGGATGTCATTGTTTTCCAAACCAGGTCTCTTTGGCAGTATCCAGTACAAAAGTGCAGGGGCACATTCGTTTCGGCTTTCATTTTGCTTTATTTCTCTAAATATAACCTAATCATCAGTGCACAAAATTGACAAAATAAAAGTAAAAAGAAGTAATAGAACCTCACATGTGCCCTGGTCCTGTAGATATGCTAGTTTTAATATAGATGTTTTTCCAAGTTAATGCATTTGTTATTTCAAAGCCGTGTGATTCACGCCAGACCCATGAACGAATGACTGGAAGAAAGTTGGAATTTTACTGTGTCTATTTTACTAAATAATTCAATTCAGTTGTAAGATGAAGTTCAAGTTTGGGTATTAAGTGTGTTTTCCATAAGCATCCCCTGATGAACTCCGACCCCCAAAGTGTCTTCCAGTATATCATGGATATAAACATGATAAATTATAATTGACTTTCCAATTTGATGAAATGTGTCAATTTTTCCCCTTTCCAATTACTCAGAAAACAATAAATACTGAGTTACTTCTTCCTTCTGCACGTATTGAATTTTTTTTGTTGGGGTTCTAACTAATTGTAAACTATTCCTAAGAAATTGTTATTTTTAGGGATTAATTCCGATACACTTATACAATATGTTTTTCTAGGGTTTGCAAATTTGACTATCACCCAGCTTTTTTAACCTTATCAGCGTTGTTCTAAGTAACTCTCTCAGTCTTGCAAATTTGCAAGTCTTTCTTAAATGAAGCTTTAATAGGCTCTTCAGTAGCAAATTCTGGCTGTTTTGGTCTGACTTGCACTAATAAATTTAATAAACCAAATCTGATTAAATATTAAGAAGTTGAAAAATTCTTTAGAATGTTAAATTCTGAGCAGGCATATTTTAAAAACATAGGTGAAAATTCCTGAATAGTCAGCCTCTACTGTCTGAATGAAATCAATGGTCCAGATTAATCCTGTCTATTGAGGAGTCTATGCACATGTACACACAGTGGCATATATTTGGGTAACTATGGGAAGGCCACGACAATGTAGGAATCTTCCTGTGACTAATCTAGGTTCTTAGTGCATTGCTTAGTTTCATTGTCACCTCATCTGGAGATCACAGAATTGAGCAGTTATTTCAGACATTGCTGGAAAATGACTCTGGGGAAAATACTGGGGAAAAGAATGACAGGTGGGCAGCGAAAGAGGAAGCTGTCAGACAGGCTTTGGCAGCATGAGGACTTTTAGCCCTGGTGTACTACCTGGGATCAAAGCAACATGAAGATGAATGTGCCATGAAAAAGTTTAGGCCGCTTTTTAGAGAGTGATATTTATTATTGAAGAAAACTAGTACTGAGAAACCAGCTTGCAGAAGTATAGAAAAAAATTAGAGATTGCTGGCCCACTAGACAAGGGGCTGGGGATGGGCCATGTCTTTCCTTGGAAAGGATGGAAATGGAAGACAGAAAAGCCCTAGTGAGAAGAACCTGCTACTTCTTGAAGTGAAGTATGGAGTGATGAAAAGGGTGGAGGCATCATAGCTGCCATACTTTACATCTGATATTTGCTGTTTCGCATACCCTTGACTTCTCTCCTTGGCAGCTGAGGCACAGTCTGACAAGGACTGACAAAGCTGTGGCCTAGCAAAATAGGAAATAGGGCTATGGACATCTGCTGCGTGAGGTGATTCTCCTGAGGGTGGCTCTTTGGAATAGTCACTAAATTTTGAGAGAAATCTGGGCTGCAAGTCAATACTGAAACTCCTGTTGACTTGGAATGGAGATAACAAAATTAATTAGGCTCAATTTTGGCTCTTCGGCAGATTACAGGACATTCTGTATTGAACTGAAGGGAATGTTAATATTAGTTGAATTTGTACAAAACGTCACAATTTAATGTCTTGTAGTATTGGTCTATGTTATCATTTTGCAAAATGGAAATTTTAGAGCTCTAAATCAATTACCATCCATGCAGTTATGGATGTGTTAGAAACCACGGAAGCGCCTGACAATGGTCACGTAGGAATTAGGGTTTCTTCCCCCAAAAAGGTGGTGGGATCAATAGCCCAACTGAAGTGCACCTACACCAGTGCATGCAGCACGGGCAACAAACAGGAGGAGCTGGAAGCCATTGTGCAGCAGGAAAACTACGATATAGTTGCCATCACGGAAACATGGTGGGATGAGTGGCACAACTGGCGTGCTGCAATGGATGGCTATAAACTCTTCAGAAGGGATAGGCAAGGAGGTGGGGTAGCCCTGTACGTTAGGGAGCGTTTTGATTGTCTAGAGCTTAATGATGGTGACGATAGGGTTGAGTGTTTATGGGTAAGAATCAGGGGGAAGGCCAACAAGGCAGATATCATGGTGGGAGTATGTTACAGACCACCCAACCAGGATGAAGAGGCAGATGAAATATTCTATAAGCAGCTGGGAGAAGCCTAGAAGCCTCGCAATGGCTAGCCCTTGTTCTCGTGGGGGACTTCAACTTGCCAGATGTCTGCTGGAAATGCAATACAGCAGAGAGGAAACAGTCTAGGAGGTTTCTGGAGTGTGTGGAAGATAACGTCGTGACACAGGTGGTGAGTGAGCCCACTAGGGAAGGCGCCCCGCTGGACCTCTTGTTTGTGAACAGAGAAGGACTTGTGGGTGATGTGACGGTTGGAGGCCGTCTTGGGCGTAGCAATCACAAAATGATAGTTTTCAATTCTTGG